TTCAAGATTAAAAGCATGGCCTAGACTCCCAATCATAGTAGGACACAATAAATAGGCCAAGATTTTTCCTCAAATTCAATTTTTCTGAAACTTTGATATTTTGTTCTAGGATACAAAATCTCTCTTTATGTATGATATGAAAGAAATTCAACCACACATTTTTTGCCCACATAGTCTGAAATATGGCCTATCATTTGGTAAAAAAAAAAAGTATTTCTTAACAAGCTAATTCAGGGAATTCATGTCCCCCGCTTAGGGAAAAAGTCGGACCCCCTGACTGAATTTGTAGAATTATTAAAAGTATACATGTATACTGAAGCAAATAATATACATGTATGTCAATATGCATATAAAGATTTGATTGCTTATTCTTTATTATGTGTATAGAAGATTCTTTTTATATGGAATATTTATCACACTGTAATGATGATTTTACAACCTCATAAATTTTTCATTTCACATGCTGAATACTATCATTTAGTAAAAAAAGAAAAGAAAAGTATTTAGAAAAAGGACCGACCGAGATTCGATCCCGGGACCTCTCACATGTGAAGCGAGAGACACACCAGTAGACCACGGATTCGCTTTACGTGCAATGAAGTATATGCAGAAGTGGAGTCACATACATACATGTATATATTCATGTTCGGTATTCTCAAAATTTTACACAATCCATGGTGTTTGATTTATTTAGCCTTTATTAAACAGTTCTAATAGATGTAATAAGAACATTAAGTCCGCTGAGAACCTGTTTTATACGCAATAACTCTCCTCATGCCCCTGTGCTAAAAATAGCGACATGTAATACTATAAATACTAATCAAACAAACGGGGCGGGGCACTTTGAGAGGGGTGAGAGAGGTCCTAGGGAGTTTTAGTATAAAATTATTTTGCATAAGCTCAAAATCTTCTTGAAATATCGCCCGGAAATGATAGTGTTACACACAGACAGAATGTATAAATACGACCTTGAACTTTGACCTTTTGACCTCAAAATCAATAGGGGTCTTCAATAGGCCACAGGGAGTTGCTATGTAAAATTTCATTGCAACAGCTCAAATGGTTCTAGAGACATCGTGTGGAAACGAAAGTGTTACAACAGACAGAATTTGCTTATTTATGGCCTTGACCTTTGACCTTTTGACCTCAAAATCAATAGGGGTCTTCTTTAATCCATAGGGAGTTGCTATGCTAAATTTCATTGCAAAAACTCAAAGGGTTCTCGAGATATCGTGTGGAAACGAAAGCGTACAGACAGAAAGACGGACGGACGGACAGAGGGACGGACGGACGGACGGACAAACCCAAATTAATATCCCTTTTCAAGCGGGGGACAATAAAAGCAAACTGCTCTTTGGTGCGCGGTAACGTCATCAAACGTCACCATTTTTCATGTATTGTGTTCACCACTTTCCTATTTTGAATGCTCAGAAAACTGCCAAAAATTTACCAAATGTCTTGAATTTTTTTAAAAAGACGACAAAATAAATTATGGAATCGAATAAGGATAATTTTTACCCCATTCTTATATATTGAAATCTTTTATTTCAAAACAATACTCATGTATTCTCTAATAAAACCTTCTTTTTTGACCGTGCGCCGTAGGACCTTACCCTGTGCACATTCAAGCATGATAAAATCTTTATTTTTGTCTCTATTTTATCAAAAAATTATAATGCACTTAAATATGATAAATAAACGTTCACTGAAAATTTCAGCTAAGTGCGTCCATTATTTTTCAAGAAAAACGCTTTGTCCACGATTTTACTGGACAACTATCGTATTAAAAGCTGTTATAAGGGAGTAATTACATGTATATATAAGAATCACTTTGCCCATTATCCATCCTACTTCATGTACAGTATTTATACCCCCGCAAACGAAGTTTCGGGGGGTATATTGGAATCAGCATGTCCGTCTGTCTGTCCGTCCGTCTGTAGACAAGACTTTGTCCGGACCGTTTCTCAGAAACTATTGGATGGATTTATCTGAAAATTTGTACACTTATTCACCATATGAAGGTGTGCACCTGGTATTTTCAACATGATTGGATGATTTGTTTGCATTTTACAGGCATTTTTTCTTTATTTTGTGGTTTTGTTTGGCCCATAACTAGAAAACTATTAGACTTACAATCATCAAACTTGGCCAATTTGTACATCTTGGGTAGAAGGTGTGTAACAACCTATTTCAAGGTCACTGTGACCTTTAATTTAAGTTAAATTTTAAAGAAAAATGTGTCTTTTACTATTGAATTACACAATCCCCAAAATTGTAAGAGTGTTGCTGTATCCCTATTTAAAAAATGTTAAATTAAGAAAATAATATTTTTTTTCATTATATACTTACAGCAATCCATAACAAATGTTATTTTATAAAGAGATAATCAACCTCTCCCAAGGGTATAATTATCAAGCACTGGTCAAGGAGAATTCGATAACAGAAAATTGCATGTCAAATTAGAGAGAAATTAATTAGTTCGGTGTAAGGAGCTAACTCACTGGTAGGACATCTCGGTTTATATCTCTTGGGAACTGGGTGAAGGAATCAGCCTTAAATAGTTTTAGTGACTAGCCTAACTTATTTAATGAATCTGAGAAATAGTATTTCAAACTAATATGATATTGTATTATAAACTTATTTAAACTTAATTAGTTAATATTAAAACTAATTATACTGTGTGTGTGTTGGGGGGGGGGGGGGGATATTGGAATCGGCATGCCCATTCTCTATATTAATTTCAGATTGAAAATTTAAGTCTGATTTTAAGATAGTTCCATACAGTTCCTACAAATCTAAGAATCATGCAGGAATCTAAGTATTCAAAATGATGCATCTAGATTACACAATTTTTTTCTGTATAAATCTTTGTAACAAATTTATACAAAATCTTTGCTTTCAGATTTAATTTCAGAATGACACAATTATGCATTTTGATTGCACTACAAAGGAGATAGTAAAGATCCATTCATCCCTTGACATTAATTAGTGGACATGCATCCAGTCAAAGATTAATTAATGAGTTCAGTGTAGGAAAGCTAGCTGTCTCAATCATTTCTGTTAGAGCATGGCTGATCAAGGAGCTCTTATCTGTGTCCTTTGGGAATTAGACAGAAGAACTGCTGGTCAGTTTAAGTAGCATATGTCATTTGATGGCCAGCCTTCTATTTCTAAAATCAATTCGTTATTGATTAAGTTTTTAATACTAATTAGTTAAATTGAAAATTTTTTTTTTTTAAAAATTGAAAATATCAAGTGACAAATTTCAGAGCATCATGTCCCACATGAAAGATATATGCATATGTGTGTGTTTGTGGGGGTGGGGCATTTTTAAAGGGCATTTGCAGAGTATCATGACAAATGGTTGCAATTCATTTTTTCAATGAAATAAAAAAATACTGTTACAATGTATTAGTATTGATGTTTTGATGATATTATTTGGTTGCACCTTAGTTTCATTTATTAAGAAAAAAAAATATGAGCAATTATATTTTCACTCGAATTGTTTCTAAGAAAACGGTGAACACCTCTGATAAGATCCATAAAATATTTGTGACTTGGCACCTACTCTGAAAAACCCAGCGGGGGTATTTGTCCCTACTGGACAGTTCTCGTTTCATTGGAGGAAGGGTAAGCTCAAAGGCAGCTAATGACCAAAGGGTTTAACTTGACCAAATTCATAGTCATAAGGACAAGTCAAGATGTAGTCAGCTTTGTAGAGATTGTAGTTACATAAGACTCTAGGTGTGTCATGACTGAGAATTCTTGATTCCAAAGACATTTCATATTAAATCAATTTCTTTTGCCAGTCTATTAACATAATGTTGAAATTCAACAACTGATCATTTGGAATTAAAATACTGGAAGAAAATCACGTGGTTAGAAATTCATTGGACAATCTTTGCAAAGAAATATATAACTTAGTTTAGCTTTAGTCCTAGCAAGTCATCTTAACAAGAGGTTTCTGGATCACATCACTCACCTGTGCACTATAGCTTTGGTTCAGGTGAGCTAATAAAAAAAGTAAGATGCTTCATCTCAAAAAAACAAAAGAAACCAGTCTTAATTTTAATGAATTTAATGGCTTAATGATGGATGCATACAACATTCAGACAATAATAAGGTTGTACAATGCTTAATTCTCAACCAACCTAAGCATTTATAAATCATTATAAAAGTGAATTCTTGACAGTGGTGGAATGTTATACGGGACTCTGTTCCCAATTTTCTCAAAGGCACACTATACATAGACCTCATAAAGTGTTTTTGGGGGGGGGGGGGAACTTTGTAAAGAACATGAAAGCTATAGAATAAATTCATGGGACAACACATTCTGTATATATACAGGAGTCAAACGAGACAAAAATTAGTATTCTGGTAAATAATTTGGTTTACATTTACACTTGATGAGATCAGTTAAGGGGATTAATTATTATGCATTTATTACAACCATTTCACCACTCTTATACCCTCAGCTCAGGTAAAAGTATCCTTTTAATAAAAAGGACGGTTTTTGGATATATCACATTTTCTTAAAATCAGGTTAAAAACTTGTACATTAAATGTACATATTCTAAAAATAAATGGCTACATATGGTGTAACATTATTTACATTTTATAACTGTATTAAAAAATCTCATCAATGTGTGAATATTTCAAATGGCAAAGTATAGTTAAGCAATTTTGCCTGTTTAATATTTTTCGTTTTCTCAAAAGAGGTTGCTACATTGCACAGTTTTTGCATCTTTGTTTAAACATGTATCCTGTTTAACTAAAACTCTAAAAGAAAGATCTTTGGTGATTATATATAAAGTCAATGGTTTTTATCACGTACAGAAAAATATTCTAACATCTCTACTTTCATTCTTGAAATTACTTTCACATAGACAGTTTTTTTCTTAAACTGTACAACATTGTTCTAATTATTACCGGTACCGGTAATTCATGTGCATCAAATATATAAAACATTTGAGACATTCTTTTTATTCTGGAAATGATGATAAAAGTTTGTTTTTTAACTTGGTTATGAATAATGAAAATTAACAGTTGGTTTAATTAAACCAATGTCACTTGCTATCCACTAATTAAGACCTGCAGTTTATTTAAAACTACAAAATTCACCCAGGGCTTCCACTAAACCTGCTAAATTACATGTATGTCCCTCAAAAGTGACAATTCTGGTGTCAACATCTACACAGCATTCATTTATACATGTACATATGTATTATTTAAGATTTCATTGATTTGTTGAAATACTGGGAGAAATTGATATGGAACTAATCAAATTCCCTTTCTTATAATTTAGTTATCCATTGAGTAAACACATCATATCAAGGCATATCACTTGGAGGTGTTTTCTAATGGGCATAAAATTATATTAACTTTAGCCTCTATCATTATTTCTTTACTAGCTAGGGCTGCCTTGGCAAGAAGACATTTTTTTATATAAATATATATTTATAAATATTAAAAATTCTTTTTAAAAACAATTATCATTGATATTTTATAGCTGATTTTTAAATTCTTGTAGCAAATATTTTTTTTTTAATTCAGGCAATTGTAATATATACCTACTCGATACAAAAGATCCTTTTGAAAAATAATATTGATTAAACAATGATCAAAAAATGAAGAAAAAATCACAAATAACAGTACTTTCTATTTTAACTTAACCAACAACAAATCTAATTCTTTGCAAAAGTAAATATTATTGACCTACCATTCTCTGTAACAAATTCATATTTATGGGATGGTTTTAACACCATAGCAGCTAGGCTAGCTGCTATGTTAGATATCTAGATCTAGTGAATGCACTAATTAACCCTAGCTGTTCTTACACAGCAGCTAAGCTTGCATATTGTTCAAGTTCACAGATTTATGCAACTATTTTGATCATTGACACACCCCATATACAATGTACTGTCCCTATAGCAACCTTCTAATATTTGCATAGTACATCTGATATGCAAGTACATGTATATTTTTTTTAATGAAAATGATTTTAAATACAAATCACAATACTCCAAAATCTTTTGTACCAAAAACACATGAATATATGAACATTTAAGCAACATAAATTTGTTGCTATTACAAACAGACATTTCTCCTTTTTTTCTAAATATGGATCCGACAAAACTTACCTATCAAAGAAAAATATAATACAATACACCATATAACATGTATATTATGTTGTTGTTTTTTTAATAAAAGTGTTTTCAAAATATAAGTATGCTTAAAATAAGTTAGCAGCACACAAAAATAAACTAGGGCTAACAATCACTGAAATATAAGCCATTTTAGGGTCATATATCAAATCTGAATTGGGAAACAGAAAATGTTGGAAAACTATAGCACCATTTTTGTTTTGAAAAAAAAAAAAATGTTTTTCTCAATTTTACTCACATAACGAACATATATATGTACACAGATTTTAACTGAACACACTAGCATATAGGTTTAAAAAACAAAAACATACAAAAGAGAACAGAACAGAACGTTAGACCCGTTAGATAGTAGTTTGGAATGAAGGGGTAATAAATAATGTAGAGAAATAATTTTTGAGCCATGACATCTTGTGGAATGATCTTTGTTTTCAAAACAAACAAAAAAACCTTTATGGGAAAGACAGTTTAAGAACTTTGTGAGCAAAACAGAAAAATCATAAATGTCTACAAATTGCCAATATAAAAACAAAATAAGAACTCTGTGATCAAAAAAATCAATTCTTATATAGAAATATCCTATAAACAAAAAAGTGATAGCACAAGGTTCATTTTTGAAATATAAAAATTAAAATTGACAAACAATAGTGTTCTTTCATGCCATTCATTCAAACTTTAAAAGCTTTCACTTCCCAATTCCTAAATACAAAGTTAGCATGAAAAACAAATGGTTCAACATCAAATAACAAAATGTCATCTTTGACTACAATCAAATTGACACTGGTTTTCATATTCCAACAAACAACAACCTGTGATTTTTTTTCTCCTGGTAACAAATTTAACATTTTTTCGGATCATGAAATCCATGATTCTGGGCTTTTTGGTATATGAGATCATATCACAGCTCTGCATTAAATCTCTGGATAATTCTATTTCCTCAGATAAATCTCGATCTTCAGATAATTCTCTAGATAATTAAGTCTTTGGATAATTAACATTCAGTTTTTGTCACCAGTCTCCTGCTCTGTAAGAGGTAAAAATGAAATCATTTGAGTTATTTTAAAGAAACAAAAATCATATATTAATGAAGAGTTTTCTATCACTAGTAAGCAATCTATTTTTATATTCTCCATACAATGAATCCCATATTTAAAATTTTTAGGTTAAATTAAAAGTTAAAATCAGAATACTGTTTTTGTTATATAGTTAAATGAGCATACATATTGTAATCTACTGGGGTAGCTATATACGGTATATACATAAACATTTACACTTTTGATCAATAAATAGACAATAATATATACAAATATATATATCTATATTTTAAATATACATTTACATGGTTATTGTTTACATTTACATGGTCATCAATGTTTCTAGCTCTATATACAATCTTTTGTAAAGGATGTTTCATGCAACAAGTCTATATAATCATGTTCACCTATAAGGATTTATACTGGATGGGAATTACGTCCTGAGGGCTTTGAATACTTTTATTCTAGCCCTAGAATCATGCAATAATAAGTCAGTTGCTTTTCTGCATTATTTGTTGCATAAACTTATTATAGGTAATTTCTTTAAGCAAAATTTATTTCTCAGGGTAGATTTTGCTTTGATGTAAAGTTGATATTTTTTATCATCAAAGTTCAATAAACCAAGCCATTTGTAAAATTTCACAAAAAAAAAAAAAAAAAATCCAACAGCAATCCCCAAAGTGATCTTCTAGCTTGTGTTTTAGCATTAACACATAAGGCCAACAGTCTTTATACAAACATTAACATCACAAGAAGCAGTATGTTTTATGTGTTGTGCGTGTTTCTCAAATTTTCAAAAAAATATTATTTTTGTAAGTTTGAACAATTTCATCAAGATGGAATGAAAATACTGGAGAAAGTATTGAATTTTTGCATTATATAAGTTTATTCTCCCAACTAAAAGCATTTTCATTTCATCAGATTTTCATTCAAATTCTGTCAATTCAACACAAGTGACTAAGTTTAAAATTTTATGCCTTCTAAATTAACATGCAGAGAAGACTAATGAAGGTGACAAAAGAGTGATATGAAAAGGAAACTACTATTAGTCAGAACTCATTATCTGCCCCTGAGTCAGCTGAAAAAACAAAAATGATTTATCTACAAAATATCTCTATAGAAAAAAATCTCTACAGAAAGTGTAAAAAATAATTAATGGTGAAGAAAATGTGATAAAAGTTATAGATATATTGATAAAGAGTAGCAGTCATAATGATAAAGAAAAATATTATGCCTAAAAATAGATTGCAATTTTCAATCCTACAGCTCAAAATGCACATTCTACATACTGTATAAGATTTCATTCCATATGAGATTACACACATAAATGTACATTGTATAGATACAATTCAGCATATTTCCCAATCCTCCAGAATTATTTCTTACAAGTGACTATAATGAGCTACATATTCTGATTACATATGACTACTTACAGTGCAGATAATTAGTATCGTTGCTTTGTGGGCAGCACTGGGTAAGCGTCATGAGGCCCTGGGCCGGGGTAATGACGGGAGTCATGATAGGAGGGAGGGGGGTAGTCTCGCTCACCCTGCCTATAGTACGGGTCCCCTCGACTGCCCCGATAATCGTCATGGCGATAATCATCACGGTACTGATTTCCACGGTGATAATCGTCACGGCGATCATTGTAGTAGCCTTGGTTGACCGCCCCATTGTTTGATCGACCATATCCACCATTTGGAGGACTATAGGATTAGAGAATGCACAAGTCAAATTTTAAAATGTCCCCCTTATTTTAATAACAGATATTAAAATAAATTTTCACATGCTCACTAACTTCTGAATAGGTCAAAAATAAAATCCCAGAACTTGAATTACAATAACTTATTTGGTATTTAGTATTATAATGAATCAAACCAGTGTTATGGAGGGAAAGGTAACTAGGGTATTCACAATGTGAAAGTGTAAAAATATATAGTATATTTAATTCTACTGGCAATGTTAATCTTAAAATATTAACATGTGGATTTTAGTAATGACCTTGAATAGCTTAAGAAAATATTTCAAAGAAAAAAAGACCTTTAACTGAAGAACAGTCAAAAAGACCTTGACCTCAAGCAAAAATTACAATATAAAAAAAAAGAACTTGTAATGAATTCCCATTCATAGGGCCCAATAGTTAAATAAAATATAGACCTGATTGGGCTTATGATCATGGACTTGACCAGTTTTAGGATCATGAGCTCTAATTATCAACGTAGGAGTGTATAGGGACAGAGAGAGACTTTTGTGCTAATATACCCTCAACCTTCACCCTTACAAGTATTGTTTTGATGCACCCTACACCTTTAGACACATAAGCATATAAGTGAGAAAAAGATGGAAGGAATGTCAAAAATGATTTCTATAAAGAAAAATAACATTTATGTGAATAAACTTATGAAAAAATTTTGAAAATGTGTAACATTAAGTGATAAAATTAGAGATTTGTTATTTTAAACACAACACATTTAACAATTAAATGACCACCCCAAACCACAAACAACTAGTATATACCCATAGTGCACCACAACAGGAAATGCAGCGACTACTCACCTGGTTAATGGAATGCTATCATCATGGTACTGCTCCATCATTCTACAAAAATTATTTCAGTAGATAAACTCTTACTATTACTCATATCTTACAAAATGTATAACTCTGCACTATAATATAGAATGCCTCTTTACCTTTATAAATATTGATAATTGATCTTCAGCATTTCACTGATAATTTTTGAAAGTTCATTTTTTCGATGAAAAGTAAGTCAAATACAGGTAAACTTCGTTATCTCGACATCGACGGGACAGTCGGAAAATGTCGAGATATCCGAGGTGTCGAGATATCAGAGTTGAGACTCGACGTCCATAATTTTACTGTATAGTAAAACCATAGACCTAAAATGAACAGACGTATAACTACAGGTACCGACATATCTTCAAATACTTCTATTACACTGTAGCTCATTCGTTTCAGCTATCCCTCTATATCTATTAGAAAATCTAAGAAGTTATTCACAAATGTTATTTATGAAATGCTTTCTTTTTTATCGAAATCTTCTCATTTTACTAAAAGCGTTTTCCATCCAGCATTCGATCCGCGTGCCACTAGCTCTGTCAGAACAGGATACGAAATGCGCTCTATAAACTCCAAACCGGAACGGTACAAAGTCGACTTTCGACATACGGAAAAAAAATGATGCGTATATTTTAAAAATTATTTCATTTCACTTCTTTTTTATTTCATAATCATTCATCATTAATTTAATTTCAATTTAAACCAAAATTTAATTGGAATTGCGCATTTTACAAACTTAATGATGTCCCATATATGCATCCATATTACGACTGATGCAATAGTCGTGTATGTCGTAGATTTGATTGATTCCTGTTAAATGCATTTTTACCACAATTTTCAAGTTAAATCGAATTCAATGTTTATATTGTTCATTGTCATTCAGTTACTTTTTTTTAATAAAATGTGTAAGTTTTGTTAGATTTCGACATAAATAAATAAATAAATAAATGTAAAATTACATTTACGCAGAATTGAGAGGATTGAACATTAATCAATTAACGTATTAGAGACGCCGAGGGGCTTGGGATTCCTCTAAAAACACATCTCTACAGAGCAGTATGTTGTCAAAACATGGGTGTGAAAAGTGTGAATTTCTGAGGACGTCGAGATACACGGAGTCGTCCGTGCGTGACGAGCGACCAGCTGACAAACAATTAGGTTAAATAGAGCAGAAAATTGCCCCGATGTCGACATAAACCAGGTAAATTTTGCTCTTGGGACCGTGAAATACGTCGAGATAAGCGGGGTAGTCGACATTACCGAGGTCGACATATCAGAGTTTTTGCAAATCATTTATATATACTGACACGCAAAAGAAACGCAACACCCTACTTTAGGGTAAAATAATTATATAAAGTAAAAAAATTTAAATCTTAAAATTATGGATATCTTCAAATTGGTAAATATCGGTAATTTAACGGTTGAACGATTTTCATAAGATAACCGGAAGTCAAGTTTGAGTCTGAATAACAGAAATCGAAAATTGCCTGTTTCACAAAACGGTTGGCAATATTATGGAGGTTAAGGGTTTGTACAGTTCAATGCAGCAATATTTCAAAAAATAAAATCTTTCATTTCCCGTAACGATGCTATAGCTTCTTGAAAATGGCTTCAGTACGCATTTCCATTGCTCTGCCTGGAAAATCTCAAAGTAAAGGTGATGGAGAGCTGATGATGCAAAAACACACTACATTACGTCTCAACGGGGTCTTACGTAGTATATTCATAAATGATAGTCTTTGGACCGGAAGTCCAAGGGTTACTACAATGCGCTAAGTTAGAGAAAATTCGACCTAATCATCTGAAAAACAGGCATTTAAAAATGGCAAAGAATGATTCCTTCACTTAGATATCGATATTGATTAACCTATTGTACCGTAGAAATTAAGCTGCTAATGTTGTATAAGACTTGTCTTGCACGTTGTAATTGAGTGGCTTGAAGGGGGGTGTTTTAAAAGTCATATGTTACTTAGTAAAATTAAAAGATAAACATTTAACATTTTTATCAAATCTCTGATCTTCTGAAAAGTGAGTTTAGCCTTATTGTACTCTTTTTTAAAAATCATTAGATAAAAAATTCAAACATTTGTAGATTACTGCTTGTTGCGTTTCTTTTGCGTGCCAGTATAGTAAATAATGCCGGGACCGCGGACGGACGTCGACATATCCCAGGTTGTCGACATATCCGATGTCGAGATACCGAAGTTTACCTGTAAGTGAATCTGATATTGCCTACATAAGAAATTTGCTGACATCTTGTACTTATAAGAAATACACTATTATAAATGAATGCATTTTCAAATTAAAAGATCATATGAATCAGTATATTCTATAAAACTCTATTAATGTTAACAAGGTATATGGAGAAGACAATATGAACATACGGGCTGTCAAAGTCCTGCCGTTCTTGCTTCTGTCTGCTCTCCTTCTTGGCTTTGTGAAGATCTTTATCAAACTTCTCTTCTCTCTGGTACATGTTTGCCAGCAGCAAGGCAAATATTATGCTTGGAATGCAGAAAAATATTCCCCAACCTAATCCAAACCAGAAGGTATTCTGAAGAGAAAAATACAAGAAATTTTTCAAAATATAAATTTATGATCAACGGTTTTACCGGTAAATGTACATGTACTTAATCAAAACTACCAATCTGGACAAGAAGACTGGAATCAATCTTATTTTTCCATTTCCAATTTATCTCCATGTGAAGAGTTTGCAGCCCTTCATTTGTAAATGTGAAAAATTATAATAGAACAAAAAGACAAAAAAGCTAAAAGTAGACAAAGTAAATGACAAAATAGGTACTCACATAAGGATCTAACAGAACCAGACAGATGGAGTCTGATAACTTTTGAACAGCTTCATATACAGGTTTACATTTCCCTATATTGTACCTCACCTACAAAGAATTTTTTAAAAATGTGTCACTGTTATAAAATGATATTATATTTATCTCCCAATTTACCAAGAGCAAATGAATACATGTACCAGGTAATATATAAATTCCTTTTCAAACACACTAATGTTGTGAATTGCCCAGTTTTTAGTTTCCATTCAACCAAGGTATTTAGAACAATAAGAATCTTACTATAAAATACACATTAATATTTTCAAATTATCAGTTAATACTGGAAAACATACCTCATTTTTAACATTTTCAATTGTACCAAGTGTATAGTTTTTTACGTTATTCACTGTCTTATTTAGTCCCTGTAAATTAAAATATTATATTTTAATACTTCACTCAACCACCTCAGAAAGAAACTGTTTTTCATGACAATCAATCCAGCTTCAAATATTCTGTATTTCATACAACTCTTCAAGCATAGAAACTTTAATTGTATTTCTTTGAGAAACACAAAAAAAGTAACTTTTAATACAGATTAACAATTAAGATGAATCATTAAAAGCATTAAAAGATATTTACATCTTCCACAAGCTGCTCTTTCTCAGAATTATATTTGAGTTCAGATGCACCAAGAGATGTTGTCAGGTTATTTACTGCTCCCTAAAAAAAATGTTGCAAAAAATTTAATCAACAACATTCATATTCAATTCTTAGTCAAATCTTAAATCATCTTTTAACATTGACAATACGTACCTGTAAATTTGTGTGGCCCTTTAAAACACTCAGTGCTGTTTTCAAATCGTCCTACAGTAAAAATTCAGAAGGAATTTTAGTGAAATACATGTATTGTACTTCTTATTTCTTGTTTATAAGCACACCTTTCTACAGCCTTTCCTTTTATTCATTACCAATTACGGTATACTAATAAAAACAATAAAGGAATCACTGTCTAGTTTTGAGAGTATGCCAGGGCATCAACAATAGTGGGAAACATGGGATAATTTGCATAACGGGCGAAGCCCGTTATGCTAAAATTATCCCATGTTTCCCACTATTGTTGATGTCCCTGGCATACTCTCAAAACTAGACAGTGATTCCTTATATCCTTATATTTCCATTTGATTGTGAAATAAAATTGTAGACTTAGACATTTAAAATGTAGTCTAATAGATTTAAATTACACCAGGACTTCCATGCCAATTTCAATAGTCCTCGCACACGGACGTCAAAGACAAAGGCAACCGCACGAGATTTTCATGCATATTTGGCCTCCTTAGCGTCAGACACAGAGACAGATGCGCACGAGATTTGCATGCGTATTAGGCCTCCTTAGCTGCTGACCTATCGACCTGCCTAATTTACATTCCGGCAGAATTATCAAGAAATAAATGCCCCCAACTTTCAAACAGTTATCACAGAGAAAAAAATTAGAAATGGAAATATTCACTGATAAACAAGAGGCCCAGGGCCACAATGCCCACCTGATTAACTTAGCTAAGTTGTTCTTCAGAAATTCTCCAAAATGTTTTTATTACCATGAAATTTTTTATCCAAAAATCCTATTTATTGGAGCTGGATTCCTATTTAAGTCCTGAACTGCTATTAAAGAGGTTTGTTTCCAAGCTTTTGAGCATATTTTTGTTTTCACCTCTATTTAAAAAATTCTGCACAATTTTTTTTTTTTTTAAGTTCTTAATACAATAAATTTGAATTCTACAATATTCAATTACAACATGCCCATGGGCCACATTGTTCTACTGAGCACATATTGGCTGGGTAAAAGATTAAAAGTATAAATCAGTTCAGTATTGAAAAGTTTACATTGAATGGGGGTGTACTTGAATTTTCAACTACCTAAGAATGCTTCTATATCCAATCACTTTGCTGTTCTTGTGCAGAAGATTTTTAAAGATTGTTTTCTATATTCCCTCTGATCCCACACTGTGGTACCAACATACCCCAAAAGATTCATCATATGAACAAATTTGAATCTAGACCATGCAAAAAATGTAAAGTTTCCATTTTTTTTGACCCAGTGGTTCTTGACAAGATTTTTAAAACATGCCAATGAATCATTACTTTTTCTGAATTATATCCTCTTGAATGAGGGCAATGCCATTCAATTAAACAAAGTGGAATCCTCTTCATCCAAGGATAGTTTGTGGCAAGTCAAAAATGAGAAAAGTTTACAGAGGAACAGACTGGCAGACTACAGACAAAATGTGATTAGAAAAGCTCACTTGAGCTTTCAGCACAGGTGAGCTAAAACCTACTATAAATAGGAAATTGATAGCGCCATGTTTTTTTCTTCCCTTTATAATGTATCATATAAAATATGGCTCAAATGGACTTGTACTCATTTGCCATAAAATAAATCTGATACTATATATTAAACATACCATTTTGACTGTAAAGTTTTTTAATTCTACATCTCGAAAGCTTTGAATCATGTCTGCTTGTTCATTCTACAAAATAGTAAAATTATATTTAATCCACTTATATTCATTTATTCAGCAAAAAAAACAAAAACAATATGAAACAAAAAATTCATTCTCGTTCTATACATATACATGCTAATCATTTTATTTACTTGTTTTTTTTTTGTCATCTTTTAATAGTAATAAAACAAAAAATAATTTGGAAAGTTTTAATAGTCTGATTCCCTATCTTTCTTACATGACCTTTTAAAATACAACCAAGTAAACAATATTAGACCCTTCCCACTCAGGCCACATACACTCAAATGCTCGTTGAAAGTGAGATACATTGTGAACAATGTACTTTTGGGAATAACTTAATGATTGATACTTTTTGAGTTCTAAATCCATCTGTGAAAATAATTTTCAAGCCTGATGAAACTATACATAAATGCTGAATCTATTAATAGATAAATATGATATATATTTGCAAAACTCATGGATATTTCTTGCAAGCAAATAGCACTTACAAATAAAGAAAAAAGGTATGTATGGAAATACACATATGAATGTATGTGTGCTTCATATCAAAACTTAACTTTTATTATACTAGGTGTCTTTCTCAAATAACTTATACAAAGTAAAAGCTTGAATATTGAGTGGGCAAGACAGATTAAGGACAGATGATACAATCAAACTTTTGTCAAAAATTTTGAAAATAACAACTTCGGTCATGTTTTAATGAATAAAGAGAATAGGTTTCACCGCGTAGTTTTTAAATTTTTACTGAAAGTTGCACAATTTAATTTGAAGAGTGAAATATTTGTATAGAATAATAAAGATGGTTTCAGAAGGGTAGAATTTGAACGTCACAGAAGGTTTACAATTCTTTATATTTTAGAAATTTATTATTTGCATCATTTGCAATGAAAGCAAGTCAAACAAGAGGCCCATGGGCCACATCGCTCACCTGAGCACCAAGGGTAGGACTAGTATAAAATGGCTTTTTATTGTAAAGTTTAAATCCAAAAGTAGTCCCAAGACCAATCATGGATTTGCTATTTTTTAGAAAATGATTGAGAAGAAGATTTTTAAAGAATTTTCCTATATATTTCTATGTAAAACTTTGGTCGGCCATTTTGGCCCCGCCCTACCCCCGGGGGTCATGATTTGAACAAAATTGAATCTACACTACCTGAACATGCTTCCATATAAATATGATGAATTATGGCTTTGTCATTCTTGAGAGGAAGATTTTTAAAGAATTTTCCTATATATTTCTATGTAAAACCTTGGTCGGCCATTTTGGCCCCGCCCTACCCCCGGGGGTCATGATTTGAACAAACTTGAATCTACACTACCTGAGCATGCTTCCATATATATATGATGAATTATGGCTTTGTCATTCTTGAGAAGAAGATTTTTAAAGAATTTTCCTATATATTTCTATGTAAAACATTGGTCGGCCATTTTGGCCCCGCCCTACCCCCCGGGGTCATGATTTGAACAAACTTGAATCTACACTACCTGAGCATGCTTCCATATAAATATGATGAATTATGGCTTTGTCATTCTTGAGAAGAAGATTTTTAAAGAATTTTCCTATATATTTCTATGTAAAACCTTGGTCGGCCATTTTGGCCCCGCCCTACCCCCGGGGGTCATGATTTGAACAAACTTGAATCTACACTACCTGAACATGCTTCCATATAAATATGATGAATTATGGCTTTGTCATTCTTGAGAAGAAGATTTTTAAAGAATTTTCCTATATATTTCTATGTAAAACTTTGGTCGGCCATTTTGGCCCCGCCCTACTTCCGGGGGTCATGATTTGAACAAACTTGAATCTACACTACCTGAGCATGCTTCCATATATATATGATGAATTATGGCTTTGTCATTCTTGAGAAGAAGATTTTTAAAGAATTTTCCTATATATTTCTATGTAAAACATTGGTCGGCCATTTTGGCCCCGCCCTACCCCCGGGGAGTCATGATTTGAACAAACTAGAATCTACACTACCTGAGCGTGCTTCCATATAAATATGATGAATTATGGCTTTGTCATTCTTGAGAAGAAGATTTTTAAAGAATTTTCCTATATATTTCTATGTAAAACTTTGGTCGGCCATTTTGGCCCCGCCCTTATCCGGGGGGTCATGATTTGAACAAACTTGAATCTACACTTCATGAGCATGCTCCCTTATAAATATGATGAATTATGGCTTTGTCATTCTTGAGAAGAAGATTTTTAAAGAATTTTCCTATATATTTCTATGTAAAACTTTGGTCGGCCATTTTGGCCCCGCCCTACCCCCCGGGGTCATGATTTGAACAAACTTGAATCTACACTACCTGAGCATGTTTCCCCATAAGTTTCATCTTTCCTGGCACAGTGGTTCTTGAGAAGAAGATTTTTAAAATATACCACTAAATTTTCATTAATTCCCAATTATCTCCCCTTGAATAAGGGCGTGGCCCTTCATTTGAACAAACTTGAATCCCCTTCACCCAAGGATACTTTGTGGCAAGTTTGGTTGAAATTGGCCCAGCGGTTCTTGAGAAGAAGTCGAAAATGTGAAAAGTTTACAGACAGACAGACGGACAGACGGACGCCGGACAAAATGTGATCAGAAAAGCTCACTTGAGCCTTCGGCTCAGGTGAGCTAAAAATATATACCAATCCAGGCATCCATTTTTTGTTTGTATCATCTGTCTTTAACTGACAAGAAAGTTCATTAAAAGGGTTTTTAGCAAAATATAAAAAAAATTATAACTGCTTTGTGCACAACATTTAAGACAACAAAAATTTGCAATATTTTGCTTCAAATGATAAATGCAGTAAGGACTACTTACAAGATTATTACTTCTCAAATCAGCTATTGTTGTATTCAAATCTGGAATGGGTGTTTTGTTTAACTGTAATAAAAATTACATGTGTATAAATAATGAATGTAGTGTATTTCTCTTTCAATGTTTCTTTTTAAATAAAAAAAAACAAAAAAAAACAAGCTACCTCTGTTTCATAACTTGTGATAACACTTGGAGATATGGATGAGTTTGCAAAATCTTCTAAGGCTTTTTTAAGTTCTGGTGTTAAGATAGTAACATTTGGTATATTGGTGATTCCACCATTCATAAACTTGTCAATTTCATCCATTACATTCTGTAATATTGAAAAGAACATAGAACAGTGAAAGTTCATGATATTTCTATAATCTAAAGAAATGTTCAATTTATACTCGATGAATATCACAGAAATTTCAAGATTGCTTGGTCTAAAAATCCAAGATATGAAATTTTCTTCAAATAATAACCTTTTGAAAATGCGATAAAAGGAGATGGGTAAACATGACGAAAGATAATCCCATAGCGCAACAAA